AGGATTAACGTCCGAAACGTTAGTAAGTTATATCATTTTACGGTGTTAAATTTATCTTTTTACACAACTGTATCTTATAATGCCATGCGGTCCTAACATTTATATCTATGACAAAAAGATATATAGCTTATTTTGTACGGAAGGTGAGCCAGATATAATCACCGCGTGATAGACATACCTTATTTACTTCGTTCTTTTTGTAGTAATTATAGGCCACTGTTCCCACTCCAATTAAACCAAGACCAATAAAGTTAGACATGCCAATCATTGTTGTTTGAAAGCTTGAAAAGAAAGTGTTGTATTGGTCTCTAACTTTCTGATCACTCCATTGTTGTACGGTACTATTCTTTGCCTTCAATTGTTGCTGAAATGATTTTTTAATTTCGAGTTAAATAACTGAACGAGTCACGCCTTGAAAATCGCGAGCATTCTTTAAGTATTAACTCGAGATTCAATAGAATACCGTATTTTACCTCTATTTCAAACCATTTATTGTTAAACTCTTTAGTAATCTCTGGACTTAGAGTTGTTACAAGTTCCTCTTCATATTCTCCAATTCTCAACATTTCGTTCCACATTTGTTGGACTTCGACGTTTGTTTGAAGAATATCTTCTTTCAGGTTGGAGCCTGCAATAAATTAAGCGCTTACATAATTAAGAAAACGAATATCGACTTACTTTACTCAGAACGAGCAACAGCAATAGACCTCTAAAGCTTTTACGTCATGTAGCATATACGCAATGCATTGTAGGATATGTTTGTGACWGATAATAGCGGATTTCATTTGTTTTCTCTAGAAACTAATCCCACAATGCATTGAAAATCAAGTATGTGCCGTAAAAGGTTCAGAAGTTTATATATTTATAAACAAGAAAGTAGGGAGAAAGGAAAGGCATTCTTACTTTCGAGTGCTTTTTTGTCAATGGATTTGCTGAGAGGCTCCAACTTTTTCTTAATCGCATTGAATTCATCACTGTCCCTGCAAACCTGTGGCTGCACATCACAGCACTTATTGATGGCAAAATAGACTTCTGTTCCGATACTCGCAGCGGACACTGTAAGGGCGGCTACTAGTGCTACAGTAGCAACACTCCCTGAGGAAAGTATAGTACATTAGTGCGTGAACTTCTCTATTGCACAGGGACCCCAGGGAACACTTTTTTTGGAGGAATACACCTACATATAGATATAGAATACATTTTCCATTTTAATGTTTTTAAGAATTCATAGAACATAATCTCCATTTTGCGTCTACCACATTGGATCTTATAGTATTGGCACTCGAGCTAATCACAGCTTGAATTTATCTAAGTTCATTGTGTTAACTCACTCTTTTGTTTTCCTTTTGTTTCAAGTCCTGTTTCCTCAAGCTTGGTAGCTGAAAAGAACCCACACAAAAAGTATCTTTGAACATATAGATAAGGTAGGTTTAAAAGGATAAAAAAGGAACATTTTCATTAAAGTTAGAGCTTTGTGYCTTGACATTATTTCTACTGCTAAGCACATGTGGGTTGATATCAATTAAGGATTTAAAGCATTGTGGACTCACCGCGTCTCTTGATGCGTTGGCGAAGTATTTGTGCCTGCTCTTGGGCGTGACGAGCCAGGCACAACTCTTGTCCAACAACAAGAAGAACCAGAAATACTGCGAATCTTCTACCAACTTTCATGTCGCTTACCAAAGAACTCAAATCTATAATTTTTGGCAAATGCTACAAAATTAAGCAAAAAACTTTGTTTTTTACTCGGTAAATACTAGTTTCAGCTCAGTATAAATTTGAYTGCATAAAATACACAAATACACTTGAATCTATTTAAAAAGCATTTTAAATGATGAATAATATAATTTGCAGAGAAAAAATCCAGTGAATCTTATTCAATTATTGTCAGAATTTTTATCGATAGCTGAAGTTCGCTTACCTTATGATATAAAGCAGCTGTTTCTGCTTCTCTGTGCGTCGTCAATTCCTGTGGAGCTATACTGCTGTAAGCTGATTGTAYTCTCTTTATATCTCTGTTTGCAGGTCCCTTGGGTATGGCAATTTTATTGTCGAAATTGTACGTGAAATCATTACATAGCTGTGYATTGTTAATTTGACAAAAAGACTTGAATGCGTGGAGTAAATTAGTTGCTCTGATTACGTTAATTTGGAGTTTTTTCTCCTACGTACATTGCTTTTGTTCAAGTAACACAAAAACGGTATTAACTCTATAAACTCATGTCCAGTCAACTCAATATTAATGATGTTTGATTCCATAAAAACTTATTTTGACGTCAAATACCATGTATTTAACCCGTCTCATCAATTCAAGTTATTAAAAGTTTTTTTAAGATGATATTACAGGAAAATTCCTGGTAGCGTCATTTCGAAGCTTCTATTCACTAAAAATACAATGTTCCTCTATAAACTATTGTTTGGTGGGGCATCAAAGAAATAATTTCGTTCGCTTGTAAAAAAATATTTTATAGGATTCATGGTTCGCACAGGTTTTTAAGAAGTAAATTCAAGGACTTTTCACAAGGAGAATACATGAATTTTCAAGGACTAAATATCTCAACTACTCTTTACTATATTTCTGTTTTTAAGTTCACAAGTTTTGCACTTAGTTTTTAATACATCAACCTAGTTACTATTTTTTAGTCTTTGTTCTTATCACTGTGATACAAATAACATTTCAATGATTTCTTACGTTTCTTACGTGTTTATTAGACTTAACTAGATTTTACGTAATGAAGTTTATTTTACATTTTTGTCTTCAGGGCTTATATTTTAGCATTACTTTGCAAATCAATATCAACCAACAGATGTGTTTTTGTTCCTTCGGTTTTGAAAAAAAAAATTCATTATACTGCTTACTGATGCAAAGAATAGCATACTCATACAAATTCTGTGGTGATAATCGAAGATATTCTTTGATTGTCGAGGTCCTACTTGTGAAGTTAACTGCCGACTGTTCTCCTTTGAGAATCATACTTGACGTATCATAGCGCTAATACTACTATAAAAGATGGGATATGTATCGAAAAATTTTTATTTTAAAATTTCACACAAAGTCATTTTTACAAATGGCACAAAGCAATAGGCATAAAACACACACACACAAACATTTTTTAACGCATGCGTGGCTTATGAACCATTTCACTGCGCCTTTTTAGCAGTTGTTATCCATGTAAGTCTGAATTGTGGCTTCACTGATCTCGGGCATAACAAAGCTGTGGATTTGAGCTGCGGTCCAGTWTATTCCCTTAAACTGACAGATCTGTGTCTGCTGCATTGGAGTCAGGTCTGGTTCTGGGCAGTCAGWGAGGAAGTGTTCGACATGGTCGGTGGTCAAGCTCATCATTGTGGCGATTTGATCATTTGTGTATCCTTCGCTCTTATAACTAAAAAAAAAATAAAATGAAAGAATCAGATATGAAGTAGAATTAATGAAAGCACGAATGATCCTAGCCGCCTCCGAGAGGGTTGGGTCGAGCGGCTAGGAACGCCTGGCTACGTAGGCTGCTAAACAGTTTAGACGGTACAATACAACTTTTGCCTACAACTGTCGCGTGCAACATGCGTAAGTCATCATTACGACATAGCTACAACTGTCGTAGAGATTAAAAACAATTGTTTGATAACCCTACGACTGTTGTAGCCATGTTGTAAGGATGACTTACGCATGTTGCATGCGATCGGCCTTTAGCTAGACTGTCAACATAATTCATCCTTGAAAAAAAAAATAGTTAAAAATCATTGTGTCGATTCCGTTGTTCTATTTTTTCTGTTGTCTAATCAAAACTATTTAGTAGTGTTAAGTATTTGTTTCACGGATTTTGTGTGTCCTCTCCAATGACTAATGTCTCAGTGAATCTTTCCTGAATGTCTTCAGAAGCAAATTAGTTTCATGTTCATTTTTGTTGTCTTACCGACAAGCCGTCTCTTTCTTGTCTACACTATTCAAGACGCAGTCAGCATTGTAGCCCTCGGTGGCCGCCATTGATTCGATGCTTTTCTCTGTCCCTTCAAATGTAGTGTATGCTGCATTACCTTCGTCATCTAAAATGCAGTTGTCGCCATCGGTTCCAAATTTGGGCACTGATTCATTGTACAAGTTTCGCAGAGAATCGGTACCTTCAGAAGAAAAAAAYATCAATGTAAGTCACACTTGCAGATATATGAGCTTCACAGGTTTTTTGACTTCGCCGAAACTGAAAACTACTTTGCAGTCTTAATAAACAGTTCTTAGCCTTCAAACAACCAGGTCCTGAGATTATTTCCACTCCACACTATGCGGCTGTCGATAATAAGCATGACTGACCTTTTTTGCACTCATCAGAGATGTGTGTCAGCAACTTGGCTCTGTTTACGTAGCAACTCAAGAGTACTCTGATATCGATAAGGGCCGCGTTAAGACCTTTCACTAAATTGTAGGTAACTGTTGTGTCAGAAACAGTACCGTTGATCGTACTAATGAAGTTTTCTATGGTGGCTGCAGTTCTTGACATTTCAGGGTCTTCAGTATGCGAGCCTTCGGCCAATAGCTGTAGCTCGTGCAAAGGTATTGAAACTTTGCTTTGGAAAGACCTAAAGTTAGCTATTGTTCCTTTGAAATAAGGAACCAAAAATAGAGCATGTTGTGGAATTTCTGTTTACATTCAAGCTGATATTGAATGGATGTTTTGCTAGTATTCATGCAAAAATGCAACGGTATATATTAAGTAATCAATGCCAAGAATGTCATAAAAAGAAAATTTGTTTTTCTTAAAGATATATCATAGTGCATATCTAATAATTTATTGTATATTATCAAATATCGATATTAAGGTGTGCACCATGGAAACACCACACAAATGATTACATATACGGCGTCTAGGATAACGTTACATTTAAGCTATTGTGTAGTAACAGCTTAATTGGGATCTACGCAATTAAGAGTTGCGATGACGCGGTGTGCCTACGACAAAGATCGAGATATTATTGACGCAATAAACTTCATTCCAAAAGTACGTGAAAAAAATGCAAAACTTATGGGGAAAAGTAGTAAATTTACACAAAAAATAAACTCTATCATTGATGATTGTTTATCTCGAGACCGAAGAATTAATTTTCAAAGCGAACTTGCGCGTCMAGACGCTGTACACWTTATCATTGTTATCCTGAACAAAAAAGTGACGCTCTCCAGTTGTTTGGAAAATTTCAATCAATCATCTCAAACAAACTTTGGAAAGCATGTTAAAATAAATGAATAATTAAATAGGTGCAGATTTTTTGCTGGCTAAAAAAGCACAAAAAACTAAAAAAATTAAGATATTCAAACTTTTTTGAATACATCCTGCACATAAAATAGAGCATACATTGGAACCAACGATATTTGTTTGGTAAAGTTTCTTGGTAACTACAAAGTATTTCTTTGKTGTTTTACATAGTAACGATATGTATGTACGTGTATTATGTGTACGTGATTTTGTGTGCATGCAGCAAGCGTAGACTATTTTAAGTCTCGTATTCGACGGAAATACTCTCGTCATGTCGTATCATTGTCCAGAAAGCCAGCTTACCCTCAAATATACGTAATAAAATCACGTTGATGACGTAATTTCATCGTCTATCAACCAAAAAACTGACTTTTGATCCAGACAGCAACTCTGACGTAATGTCTAAAAACTCGCCTCCAAATAAAATGAAAAATGGTTGTAAATTTTACAAGGCGAATATAAYGGTTGATATTGAACTCTTTTATTACTATAAATAATCTCGATTAGCGTTGTTTCGACTTAATATCCATAACAATAGGACTCAAAAAAATATTGATGGTAGTTTTTAGGATTTCTGTTTGGTGTCCGACTGAAATTTTTGATAAAATCGTGCGTGAATGAGAAAAAACTTTGTAATTGCGTTAAAGATTCGGTTATTTTACAGCCAGATTTTTTTTATACGAAGAAAAAAGAGTGTAGTTATTATTTTAGACATGAGGACTGACTCTGGTAAATCTGCTTGATTCCCCAGAGAATCTGCGGTATCTAAAACATTGGTCAGTTTGCTCCAAGAGAGCACCCGCTATATCTGCTGTTTTTTTGCTTTATTTGAACCCAGTATAAATTAAACCCAGTAAAAATATAAATAATAAATAATAAATAATAAATAAACCCAGTAAAAATATAATATTTTAAAATTACATTATCACATTTTCAATATAATTTGTTTGGACCAAAACTCACTGAGCCGATACTAAATCCCTCTTTATTCTACAGAACAATAAATGATTTTAAAATAAGTGATTCGTTATTAGATAGCTGAAGCGTATAGCCGGTGCTTTCTTGCGTGCGTTTACGTAAGATAATTACGTAGGCGAGACTCTCAAGCCCGTACGTTCAATTCACTGCCTAGCGGGGATCACTAGGCAAGGCAGCTATTTTCTTGTGCAAAGCATGATGGCAGACTATAACTCGAAAGGCTTTTTATCCCGGTTGAATTATTCTCAAAACCTGTTGTTGTTTATAGTTTTAAGTTTTCATTAAAAAATCTGAATAGTTTTGCTGAGCGCAAGAACGTATTTTGAACATGGATAGCAAAATCAATAAGAAGAAAGTATAAGTTTCATATACGTTTATTTGCATTTTTCTGATGTAAAGAAATTACATTTAGTAAACGTATTTTCGCATAAAATAGGGCACATATCTTGTAAGGTGGTCAATGATGCTGCTCACACGAAAAAAGACAGAGTAACCATTCATTGCACAGCTCATTTTTGACCAGCCATTGATCCCTTGGAGAACCCATTTATCGCCCATTTTGCAAGTCAACGGTCCAGGAACAAAGCCATCTTTACAGAACTCTACAGACTGTCCTTTGGTGCAGAGAGTATAGGCTTTGTTGATTGGGCGTACGTATTGGTGGAGTTTGTCCTCGCCCTTCAAGTTGGCAAAACATGTTGCATTGTTAACTACGGCAAACGGGCCTTCAGAGACAAATTGGTTGTTGTTCTTAACGCCTGTGGAAAGCAATAACGTTCAATTCAAACCACAAAGCAAATTTTCACCAGCGATTCACTGCACAGAAAAATCATGTTCTAACAACCTTAACTAAAAGTAATTTTAAAAAGAAAGCAGCCACTACATGTGCATATCATAGCGTTTTTNCTTTAGAAACACCGACGCAGCTCACACTAGTTTACCGCTAGTTCCCACCAATACAAAGAAGACAACAAGCAAGCAAGAACAAGCACAACGAAAGAGAGAAGTGACGGATACCAACGAAGGCTAGGTGAATAAAACGAAATTCAAGAGTCTTCACAATCTACAAGATACACCACTATAGAAATAAGAATGGAGCAAACAAGATAAGAATGTATAGATGACTTACATTGGGCAGAAACCACGTCTTCAGGAGAAAAGGTACTCAAAAAAAGAACACAGCTTAGAGTAAAGAAGACCTTCATGCTTGATTCGATGTTTGATTCAAACTAACTGGAAAGCTGAAGTGCTCTTTACTAAACCCACAAATATGAATACTAAATTCACATGTATTCTATTGTTTGATTAGCGCTATTTTGTACTAATTAGTGCACTTTGTTTCATATACAAAGTTCAACATACACGGACGCTCGGTTAACAATCCATCCTAATTCGTAGGCTGTAACGCTGTATGGAAGCAAGCCACCTATCTGGTCAGAAAGCCGATTCTTCTTGTTCAGTTTCGTTTCACTATGGACCCACAATACAAGAGTTGAAACCTCTATTGCACAGGGCGGCCTCAGTTCATTAGGCTGAACGATAAAGCTATAGTTTAGTTAGCAAAGCAAATCCCGCTCATAAGTTTAATTATAGGCTATATTCTTGCTAAATTATTATCTGATGTTTAAGAAGGGTCAGTGTCATTATTCCTTATTGTTTCCATAGGTCCATGTTTGATTGGTGTCTGACCACTAAGTTGTGCATTTCTTAGCCGAATAATATATTGAAACGTACAAACGAAATGTGAAGTCGTGTTATGGTACAGGGGTAAAAGGGCTGTACCTCCCTTAATTCCTGGACACGCGCTGCGTTGCCCTGGAATTGATACACAAGTATTCAATGCCAATCATTAAATCGATGATAATCGCTATCAGATTGATTAGATACTAAATAACAATTATGATTCCAAATCGTTGTTTGCACGGACAGTCAAACACAGAATCAGAAGTTTGAATTCGACATTGCATTGCGTCGTAATGATGTACATATGGTATGTATTAACACAAACTAGGGTCACAGCTGTGTTCATACACAGTACCTATATCATGCATGCGCACTCCGAAGGATTATCTAAACTAATTACTCACAGTATAGATAACATCCGATTATTATCCAAGAGACATCGAAATAAATTATGAACCGATGATAACACTCATTGAAAAGATCGCTTGAATACGTGAATCTTCATATCCTTACAAACACGAACGGTAAACCACTTCACAAAGAATTTTTAAAACTTAAAATTACAGTTTTCTCTGCCTGGTGCATTGTAAATTTGGGTCATGTCGATCAGAGGCAGTACTACATACCCAGTATGAATGCTACAGCAAGCATTTAGAACTAGTACCATGACGGTGTACTCTTTCTAATGGGGGATTTGCTGCCTATAGACAATATATCAATATCTAATTCAGTGTATGAAATGGAAAACTTAAAGAACTGCTGAAAATCATTAACGTCAAATATAGATATCATTTAGGGAGTGGAACATTTAAGGAATGGTTCATGGTTAGCGTGCGTATATCTAGTTGTAGATGCACGTGGGAGGTTGCTAAGCACGAAAAAATGCGTAAGAGCTGCACGACGCGAAGCTGAATGCAAGTATGTTTATTTTTAGGCGGGAAACCAATGAAAAGTGACTTCGGATTTTACCGACTACAAATGTGATTTCGTCAATTCACTGCATTGGGGATTACACTAGGAAAGGCAGCTAGTTTCTTGTGCAAAGCATGATGGCAGACTGTAACTCGTATGGCTTGTTATCCCGGATTAATCATTCTCAAAACCTGTTGTTTAGTTTTAAGATTTCATTAAAAAAGTCTGAATAGTTTTGCTGAGCACAACAACGTATTTTGAACATGGATAGCAAAATCAATAAGAAGAAAGTATAAAGTTTCATAAACGTTTATTTGCATTTTTCTGATGTACAAAAAACTACATAGTTTTGTAAACGTTTTTTCGCATAAAATAGGGCACATATCTTGTAAGGTGGTCAGAGATGCTGCTCACACGAAAAAACACAGAGTAACCATTCATTGCACAGCTTGCATTTGACCAGCCATTGATCCCTTGGAGAACCCATTTACCGCCCATTTTGCAAGTCAACGGTCCATGAACAAAGCCATCTTTACAGAACTTTACAGACTGTCCTTTGGTGCAGAGAGTATAGGCTTTGTTGATTGGGCGTACGTATTGGTGGAGTTTGTCCTCGCCCTTCAAGTTGGCAAAACATGTTGCATTGTCAACTACGGCAAATGGGCCTTCAGAGACAATTTGGTTGTTGTTCTTAACGCCTGTGGAAAGCAATAACGTTCAATTCAAACCACAAAGCAAATTTTCACCAGCGATTCACTGCACAGAAAAATCATGTTCTAACAACCTTAAAAGTAGTTTTAAAAAGAAAGCAACCACTACATGTGCATATCATAGCGTTTTTTTTTTGTGCTTCGTGGTGCAGGTGTGCCAGTATAACATCGCAAAAGCCAACCATGCAAATTGCGGCCAGTTTGCTTATCGCGGGGCGACTTTCCGTACACACATACAGACTAACCTGTCACGTAGCACTGCGTACCGACAGGAACCTCTTCACCTTGTTTTGGTAGACTGGCTGGCTTAACTTTGTCATTGAATGTTATCTTCTCGGTGAGGAAGTAAATATCCTCACCATAACTGTTCATTGATCTC